CCCCAAAACCCCAAAACCCCAAAACCCCAAAACCCCTTTAATGTTTGAGATTATTGAATTTAAACCTATTCTAGATATGTTTTATTTTTTGGCGACTACGACTAGAGTTTCCCAGTTCATCATTTCTGAAGTACTGTCTCCATATCTCTCCTCATACATATTATAGAAAGTTGTTTTAAAATGCTGTTTCTGTTCTTCAGTACAGCTTTCGTATGATAGTTTAGCATCAGCAGCAGTGATAGCGTAGTTGTAGCTTTCTTCTACAGAAGCAAATCCAGGATTTGTCATTGTATAGTATGCTTTCACATCTTTGAATCCAACTTTTTTTACATCTTTAACAAGAGCATCCTTATCGCTAAGTTTAAAGCTTGAACCAGATCCCGAAGTATAATCAAGCTGTGCTTCCTTAAATACTTCTCCCACAAAAGTCATCATTGTGCAGTTTTCTTTTCTGCCCCAAACACTGAAACCTGCAATCCCTCCTTCTTCAAGCACTCTGTAGGCTTCTGAGAGTTGGTTTTCTGGATTAGGAACGATCATAAGAGAAAGAGTTGAGATGTATACATCGAAGCATCCATCTGGAAATGGGAGAAACTCATTATTTGCCCTAAGACTAAAAATTCTTTTTGAAAATCTATCACTGAATCTGCTGATTTCTTTGTCAACATCTATTGATTCACTCTCTTCTAGAGACTCTATCTTTACATTTGGATCTAAGGCAGTGTCTGTGTCTAAAAATCTTTGAACAAAAATCTTGTTCATTTCGTCAGAAATGTCTGACACAAAGTATGAAGAATCATCTTTCATTAGATAAGAGATAAAGAGTCTTGCTGAGAGCCCTCAGCCTGCTCCAACTTCACATATTTTAGAGCCTTTGTTAGCTCTTGTTACACTGTAAAGATTGAATGAGCTTTGAATGCTAACTTTCTCGACAGTAGTTTCATACATAGGAGCCCATACATTGAATTTATCCCTGAGAAATCTCATTCTTTCATGATCTACTTCTAAAAGAATATAACTAGAATGTACCTTTAGTTTCCATTTCCGGTTTTTTAGGAAATTTTTTTAATTATGGGGTTTTGGGGTTTTGGGGTTTTGGGGTTTTGGGGTTTTGGGGTTTTGGGG